TCCCCACATGAGGTAAAAATAAATTTTTTGATTATTCATCATATTGCTCTGTACAAATAAAATACATTGAGCTCTCTCTTTGTGGATCAATTTTAATATTTTTATATTACTAGGACCCATTTGGATTATATACACATTGAATTTATTTTTTTATATATATATATATATATATATATATATATATATATATATATAATCCAGGTGGATCCTAGTAATATTAAAACTGATCCACAAAGAGAACTTGATGTATTTATTATAACAGAGCATATATATATATATATATATTACACAGCAAAAAGTCCAAAATTACCTCATGTTGTTATAGCCTATTTCAAACAGTGCAACGTTGCACCAGTCTTCTCCAACCCTGAACAAAAATCAGGGATTTAGAATTTAATTTAGATACCAGTCAAGGAAAAATAATGATCATACCCAAAATGATGCTTCAGCCAGATAAAAAGCCCATGTTGGTGGTAAGGAGAGGGCAGGAGATACCTTTCTAAAAGGAGAAGAGGCCCCCTGGAATCAATCCTGATATCAAACTTATGATCCTAATTTGGGGTTATATGAAGAGTGAAGGTGTTGAATTGAAACCAAAAAAAAAAAAAAAAAAAGAAAAAAAAAGGGGGCTGAAATGGGAGTTTATTTATGACCAAGTAACAAGTGAACAAGTAATACGGTAACAAGTAATAAAGTAAGATCTATTTTCTTATATAAGTTTTAGCAGGTTTAAACTTATATAAGAACATAGATCTTACCTTATTACTTGTAAACTCCCCCCAATGTTGAATATACAACAATAATTAACTTCTACAATTTCCCTCTATTCTCCATATTAATCTTGTCTTATAAAGTCCCCTAATTTATGCCAACCCCTTTTATTAACTCATTTTATTTTTGTTTTTAAAGAATTTCTGGTATAGCTTGGTATTCCTAATAATTTAATCTATCCCTAAAGTTATAAGTGGATAATTTATTCTAACATTCCTTAATAATACAAAACACTTAAATCTATTCTTATATTAATTGTTAATATTATCAATACATATCTGTTGTCAGCATAATTTGTATTCCCTAGCAGGAACCTAAATTCCTTTATATATAATTAAAGGTTTTGGTCATAAATAAACTCCTTTTGGCCCTTTTTTTTTTTAGTTTCAATTCAACACTTTACTCTTCATATAACCCCAACTTAGGATCATAAGGTCAATATTGGGACTGATTACAGTGAGCCTCTTCCCCTTTTAGAGAGAGAGAGAGAGAGAGAGAGAGAGAGACCTCCTGCCCTCCACTTACTACCAACATGAGCTTTTTATCTGGCTGAAGCATCATTTAGGTTTGATGTCTTTTCCTCAACTGCTATTTAAATTAAATTCTAAATCCCTGATTCCGAGACAAATTCAGTCCAGAGTTGAAGAAAACTAGTGCAAGGTTGTGCTGGTTGAAATGACTTTTTTTGTAATAAATAAATATATATATATATATATATATATATATATATATATATATATATATGTGTGTGTGTGTGTGTGTGTATATATATATATATATATATATATATATACACACACGTGTGTGTCTTTTGAGATGTCTTATCTTCAAATCACGTAAAAACGTTTTTTTTTTTATTTTAGATATCCCTTTTGAAAATTTTATTCATCTATCAGGAATGTAAAAACAAATGTCTATTGATAAAATGACGATGACTTTTATTCATTTATAAACTGATACAAAGTTAAAGTCAAGCAAGGAAACAGACAAAAAACTGATGTAATGAATATGCATACACCTGGGTTCCCCCTCGCAGTAATATGATTGGCTGGTGTCCGCCATAAATACAGACTGATGTGGAGTTACAAGGACGACGCCTATTGCCTACCACTACGATGAGGACCAGTCATTACGGTTACCTGTTCGATTGTCCTACTCGGTTACAGTAGACAACAACCACTTTGCTACTTCGAACAAATATATCCCTTTCCGGGGACATATCAAAAACCTATTAACCTTTGACCATATAATCAGTATTTGAAAACAATGAAAGATTTATAAAATAATAAAAAAAAATTTCTAAAATAATTTCATTCATTTGTGGATAAGTTCTGAAAATTTCATTAAAATTCAACAGTTATTTGATTTTTGAAAGAATTTCCAAATCAATGTGTTTTTCATTTGAAAAAAGATGCTATTACATAGACCGCTGACATAAAAGATTTTTAACCAAAATTTTGAATGTGTTAAAGATGAAAAAATTAAAAAAAAAAAAAAAAAAATACTTTGATCTTTTCTCTTAATAATAACAAACATTTTGATGATAAAACTTTATTTTTTATTAGGTTTGGGCCTTTTTTCATCATGCAAGGTTATTTTTTTCAGCAAATTAGTTGGGAATCCTACATTTTTTTTTTTTTTTTTGCATAGGTGACCTTGTGCACACACCTTGAGTTTTATATGCCCTACCACATCCATGGTAAACTCAAGTCTATTGTCTGCTCCCTCACCCACACAATAGTTATTTAGGTATGTGGGCAGATTCTTTCAGACGTTTTCATTTGCTTCTGACCTGATTTCACAAAAGGTTAGCCTGTTCCCCTTTCTCCATCCATGCATAGTTAGTCATACAAGATTTTTAAATTGTTCCTAATGTCTTCTTTTTAGAGGCAACTAGCTTTCACCTTTTCACCCTGTCACATACCTATGAAATATTATACATACAGTTCTTGGTCAGGATTTCATTCAATGTGTTTTATTTTGTGAAACACTGTCTTGTCTAACAAAATTCATACAAGAAATGTAAAATGTTTATTAATAAAAAACTAAGACCCACTTCACTTTTAGGCATCACAATATAAGCAATTATACTATTTATAGATATTTTGTCAGTTAAGTGTCAAGAAATTTGTTGGTACTGAATTGACTATTAGTGTAATAGTTATTTTTTCTCTTTTAGAGACTAATTAGTAGAAATAATTACAGCCAAGTCTAGGCAATTTCTTTAAGCCTTAAGGACAAATAACTATACTACACTCCTTCAGAATATTTTATCATAGAATAAAATAATGTTTCATCTGAAAATAATCTTGGAAAAAAAAAATCACCCATTCTAAATCTATATGAAAAAACCTATCCCTTAAATTTACTATTATATATATATATATATATATATATATATATATATTCGTTTCATTAAATAATATAGACAAGTGTTGTCTATTTATTTTATGTAAAATTTTTTCGTATCTTCTGATAAGTTTGGTAACATTATCATTAACCGAAAAAAAAGAAATTCACAATATTTATCCATTATTTTTTAATAAAATCTAAGCTTTCGGCTTACTCAAGCCATTATCAAAGATGTAAATACAAACATATCAAACAATATACGGACACGACAGTGATGATATAGTCTGTCATTGTTTTGTTTACATAGTGAATCACTAACAACGATGAACACGCGATATAAGACGCTAGAAGCGAAAATCGCACCGCATCTCATGACGTCACACATGACTACGAGAGTGAATTGAGAATGAAATAAGGAAAGCCGTTGGTATAATCAATGGCTTCTGTTACTAATTATTGAAATTATAGACATTTAAGAATATTTGTAGAGATTCCATAGTTGATTTTGTTTAGGTTGGGTTTTAACTGTTTGATGTATAATGCTTCAAGTATTTTTAGTTTTTGTCTATTGTTTTCATGTCGAAGTATAGTTGTGTTTTCGACAAGTATTTTACGGAATTTTGTGTGCGGGCAGGCATGTTGTTTTAAATGCCTAAAAATGTTAGAGTTTTCATTAAGATGTAGTGTCAAGCGTCGTGAAAGCGAGTTTGTGGTGTGACCAACATAAATATTATTTAATTCGTTGGAGATACACTCTCCCAAAGGGCACTTGAATTTATAAACTATGTTGGTTTTTTGCAAATCGCTAATCGGGGGAGAAGAATCATTGCGAAGTATTAAGTTGGATATACTAGATTTAGTGTAGTATATGATTAATTTAATTTTTTTTTGCTAGGATCTGTAGTTGATATATTAGAATTTACTAAATTTTTTAGTATGTGTTCATCTTGTTTGTTTATAATATATATATATATATATATATATATATATATATATATATATACACACACACACACATATATATATATTATATAAAACAGTTGCATTCATACAAAGTGAAAAAAAAATGTATGAAAGAAACATCTAAATACTACAAGGATGAGTCAAAAAGTAATATAATTTGCTTTATTATATAAGAAATAAGGAACAAAATTAAACAGTATATTTGTGTTCCTTATTTCTTATATAAAGATATAGCTATACATCACTGCTTCTTTCATTGGACCAAAGAAATGGATGTCTGAGTCAAGTGGTGATGAAGTGAAAACTGCTGTAAAGAATTGGCTACATCAGCAGCAGCTTTTTTTTTTTTTTTTTTTTTTTTTTTTTACACAGCTGGAATGCATGTCCTAATTAATAGGTGGAACACTGCCTTTTAAAGAGGTGGTGATTATGTTGAGAAGTACAGATGTGAACCTGTGATGTATATAGCTATATATTGATGTATGATATGCTTGATTATGTTCCTTATATAATAAAATGAATTGCAATACTTTCTGACAAGAACAATCTTCACTTTCCTGTCTCAATAGAGTCCAAAAGGGTCTTATGTGTCCTTATTAGTGACAAATTATTTTCCACCCTACAACCCCTTTCCCCACAGACAAAACTTACCTTGTAGCAAACCATCTCATTCAACTTCATATTCCATTGTTGAGATATAAGTTTCACTTGAGCAGCTTCTTCCCACAAACCGCTGCTTTGTGGAACCAACTCCTAAGAGGATGCTTTCCTGATCACAACAATCTTAACCTATTCAAGTTTAGGATTGTTATCTTCCCCAAATATCTGCAAAAACTTTGCCTCTAACTCTGCAATCCTCTACAGGCCTTGTATAGGTTGGACATCACTGTACAAAAAAAAATTGAGGAACTTACCCACTAATGCCTTGTAATAATTCCGTGCACTGAGTGAAAGCTGCCTTAAATTGGGTGTAAAATGGTCATTCAAATTCTGAAGAAAAAAAAACAAAAAGAACATTAAAATAATGAATGCATTCAATATATATACAAGAAAGATTGAAAATCATTTGTTATATTGCAGCCATTTTAACTAAAACATTTTATCTTAGCACAACCTAATTTTGAATGTCAGCTGTATGATATGTAAACATGTTGAGCCAAAGATTTTTAAAATTGGATCATTTTCAGAAAGATGCAACACTGCATGCTAATTTTGTTGATGAATGTGAACCTTAGCACCAGTAACATTTCAACCATATATGGTAATATAAATTGTTTCCTAATAAGGAAAACTTTGACATTCATTGACCAAGCAGCCATTGCTATTTTCAGTTGAAATTTATAAAATCTTTCTCTTAAATCAATTTTTCAGGAAAATAGGTTTCTCAAGCCCAGTAACTGTTATTGCTCTTTCCAGTATTTATCGATGTTTCCTTGCTAACCTTTTGTTTGAAGTAGTGTAGAATGTGAAATAAAATAAAATCATCTCATAATTTGGATATTTTATATGATTTCTTTTGAAATTACAGCTGGATTTGAATGAATAAAATTGAATTAAATAAGAATTACCTGACAGGAATTTTTTGGTTAAGAAATAAAAAAAAATAACTAAGTGGCCATCAATATAGTTTCTGTAAAATTCTATGGATAGTATAAAATGATACCAAAGTGAATGAAGGCAATGTATGTAAACTAGTCCTGTGACTTAAGTATATATTGTGACTATTTGACTTTGATAATAGAATGAATACAAAGCAAGCAGTCAGCATCCAAAGAGCAATATTTTTGCACATTCTTTTTTGTTGTTAAATTGTTAATCTAAGGTATATGAGATGAAGCACTTAGCAGTTTGAAAAGACAAACTGAAATAAAGAGAGCATGTTAGAAAAGAAACTGTATTTTTTTTTAACTTTTCTTCTTTATAAAAGAGAAAGAAAAATATTTTAGTCGTACTTATAGATGATTAAAATGCTTCCAAGTCAGGATAAATACCGATTGTAGGATTCATTTTTTACAGTGTATCAATGCTTTGCAGGTCATTTAAAACCAGAAAATATTTAGATTGTATGATTTTTTTTTATGATAATGGTTTAGTGATACAAGTCTTTAGTCATAGCTGGGGGAGAATAGGGTAATCCATACCTTTCCCAAGGTTATTTGTGCATATGTGAATATAAAGCCAATGAGAACAGGAACTTGGCTTCCTGATTAACAGTTCCAAGCAATTATCCACTAAACCACCTGTATATCTAAGCCCCTAGTATTCCCAAGCAGTCACCCATCTTGGTACTCACCATGTTTGGCATTGCTTAATTGTGGTGATTGTACTGGAACTGGTGTTTCAACATGATATGGTTGAAAGCCCAGGACAAATACTGATATTAGAGATATCCATTATATCTGTGAATTGAGCATTATCTGGCATTCTTATTGTTAAAATCATTAGGTGCTTCCATAACATTTCAGGGAATTTTTTTTTCCTTAATTTGAACCAAGTATATTAGAGAATTTTGGTTAGATTGCTGTTGACATGGATGATTGAACAATGAAAAAAGACATAAAATGCAAGAATCAGATTTGGCTTGTTTTTTGTTTTGTTTTTTTTTTTTTTCACATGAAAATTCTTTAAAATTACAAATAGTCTTGTTTGACTTTTCAGCCAATTAAACAAAATGTTAGTTAATTATTAATGACAGAATTCTAACCCAGCTGGGTATGATTATAAACTACATCCAGCAGCAAGGCCTCTGATCAGAAGGTTTTGGGGAGCGTGGAACCACCTCTTAATTGCTGTTGTTCTCAGGTCCACCCTGACCCGGGGTTGTAGCACCTGCTAGGGTTTCAGCTATGGGTAAATAGTTAACCCCCAAACTGGGGATCAAAACACTATGAAAGTATAGAAACACATTTTTGTAGAATTGCATTGTCATAGTAAATGAATTACCAGCAATACATATTTTGTAAAAAATAATAAATACAAATAAATAAAAATAAAATATTACCAACAATACATTTTTAAGAAAAAAAATTAGTAGCAATACATTTTTCTAAAAGAAATTACTAATGCTCCAAAGAAAATTAAATTTCGACATTAAATGACCCATAAGGAGTTGATATACCATTAAACAAAACAGAATTCTAAAATACAAAACTGCTTTGCAAGAATTATAATAATGGCTGGTTGCTACTTTCAAAGTACACTTGTCCATTATGGTAGCTAGCTAATCACTGTTGAAGGTGCTTGTTCAGGAGCATGTTCCTACAATATCATCAGAAATAACCTCATGAATTAAATACAGTTTGATTGCCTATCGACTAAAACCTTGATGACAAATTGATTCAATAATCATCAAGACCTGCTTTTGCTGTTTTTAAATAGGACAGATTTTCCGTTATACCTCTCAGTAATTGTAAAATTTGCATTATTTACTCATATGACATAACAAAATTTTAACTTTCATTTTTCTAAAACATTAAAATTGTAACAAAACGTTGGTAGATATGCTACAAAATGATGCAATATTTTTGCTACAAAATGATGCAATATTTTTGAATCTTATAAATTGTTTTATAAATACAAAGTGGGCCAAAAGTGAACAAGAAATTTCAAAATTTAATAACTTATTTTTTAACTTTATTCACAATACCATAGTAATACAGATAAATTGGATTTTAGTTCTTGCATATGAGGCTGTTGCACCATCTTGTAGTATGGGAACAGGTTGATACATTTAAAAATTTGTTGGGGTGACGTGCAAGAGATCCAAACCTGTTGAGACTGTCTTCAAGTTGATATGCTTGGATCTTGTTTGATCCTGTCCCTTACTTGTTCAAATACCCCTTTGATCCTAACTGAAGATGGAAGATCACTTACAAAACCATTACCATCAAAATCCAGAGAATATCTTACATTTTAATGGCAATGATATGCTTGTTCACTTTGTTGAATTATTGATCCTTAATTTTGGTAGAGATTTCACTACTTGTGTTTGTTTTTCAGTCATTTATTTTTACAAATTTTCAAAACCTTTATAATATACCTGAAAGAGAACAGATCATTTGGTGACTTTTTGGACACCCTGTATAAGTAGTTAAATCTTGTGGGAGAATTATTTAAAAAATTAGTGTTAAAAAGAAAAAATACAATAAAATTGTTTACAAAGACTTCAAAATAACTAATATCAAGAGAAGATTTTACCAATAATAATAATAATAATTGTAGTGTGGAATATAAGTCTGATGAAAATGGAATTATAATCCTCATAAAAATGATTTCCTGCATACATTCTTTCGTTAACATCAAAATATGTTAAGATATATATTCTTTTCATCCTGTCCTTTGTGTCTATCAAGAGTTGTCAGTTTATAAATTAGGTTTTAATTAAGTATTTATCAATAAAAGATCTTGGAAACAATTTTTAAACATTCACTTTTGAGATGGTGAGATAACAGCTGAGAAATAAAAGCTGATGACAAAAAGACCAAATGACAGAGTCTTAGATTGTTATTGATAACCAAGAATAGGAAACAACGAAGGGTATGATTAGTATATAAGGTCACTCTACAAGTGCTACCAGTACCATGTAACTCAGTACTACCTGTTGCATGGTCAGGTCATTGGTGACTAAACCACTTTACCCACTAAACTTTTCTAGCATGTTTGCTAGGTGGCCTAACACCCAACAGAATTAAAAACAAGACCCATCAAAGGTTAGATTAATCCTTTATCAGATCAACAGCCATCTACAACAATGGGGTAGACTGTGCAACCAGTATAGGGAGGAGATAGCATTGTTGGGTGGAGGGCTTCCTACTCCAAAATCAATGGCCAGTACAAAGGGTTCCCCAGACAGAATCAATGGTCACATGTTTGATCAAGGCGAGTCTTCAACTTGGAGGCTGTGGTTAAACCTGGAGATGAATTTGCTCGACCAGGTCTATTTACCCAAGAGAAAATATGCTTGAATCAATATCTCTCTGGCTTTCAACCCGGATATGTGAAGTGAACAGGTCAGGTGCTCAGTGATCCTAAGACCACACCCATTCATAGGACTGATGATGATGAATTTAGCTATGTTTTTATTAAGTATTTATCAATAAAATATCTTGAAAACAATTTTAAACATTCACTTTTGAGATTTATTTTTTTAATTGATGGATTTCTTTTTTCGGCTTATCAATCCTTTTCAGAAGAGGTGGACTCATACCATTCCCAAGGGTATTTGTACATAAGTGAATATAAGGAAACCAACAGGAAGTGAGACTGCTTATCTGATTAAAAATTAAAAGCCATTATCGATTAAACCACCTGCACATCCATGATTACACCACTTGGTATTCCCAAACTGTCACCTATCTAGACTTGACATTGTTTTCATTGGTGATCATACGGAAACAGGCGTTTCAATGTGATGTGGCCATAGACACTTTTGAGACGTGGAGAAATCCAAGTGGATGACAAAAAGACCAGGTGACAGAGTCTTAAATTTTTATTGATAATCAAGAATAAGAAACAATAATAAAAATTTTAGGATACTAAAAACGTTGGATAAAATACTTTTTTTCATCCCAACTGGATGTTTCTGGCTGAAAGAAATATGCATACAACTTTTAATTGAGTGTTACAATATTGACCATTTTGCATATATAAGATTTTCTTGTCATTTTCTATACAAGTTGTGCACAAATATTTGTCTCTTCTTCATGAGAAATTTGAAGAGTGAATAACTATGAAGATTATACAAGCTTCAAAGCCATGTACCGGTTGAAAATAGATAGCTGTGAAATTTACTTGACCTCAATCCTGGAGACCATTGTGAAAGAGTATGCTGAGAAAAGACCTTTTGAACTAGCCCAAACAGCAGCATTCTTATCAGTATTTGAGGTGGGTGATTGTCAAATTGTTCTTGGAGGAAAATAAAATACAGACAAACCCTCTATTCTTATTTAAAATTTGGTTGAATTTTATGAGCTTCTAGTAGTGAAATATACTGATAGTACATTGATTTGGTGTTGCTT